CCTAGATGGAAACGCCTCTGCGTTCAGAAAGCATGGCAGGCAGTGAGCTTCAGGTTAGCTGATTAGAGAAGTTTCTCCCGTTCGTGTATTTTTCAGATGGTTGCACCTTTCTTTTTCTCTGTGAGTGTTTTTAAAAACAAAGCTTTTTTTTTTTTTCCTGAAAAGGCAGGAATGTTCAGGAACACCCTTTTCACTCCTAGCATTCTGACTGAATGGCCTTGGATAAGGGCACATCCCTAACTAAAGCCACTGGGCTACTTGGCACCTGGCACTCCGCCGCCCTCACGCCACCATGCAAGTGACACTCAGCAACTGCCAGTGGGAGAAGGGGTGAGAGCCAGCCTTCCAGTTCCAGAGCCCGGCATGCCTCGCCCTGACCTTCCCAAGTGCATCTCCAAACCACAGCTCTCACTGGCAGAGGGAGATGCAGGAGGTGCCAGGGGGATGTCGCTGCTCCACTTGCCTTGACCCTCTGCCTCGGGAGTGAGTGACACAGGGAGCGACAGCCTCCCCTGCATCAGAGCCTGGAGCTCATGCTTGCAGATCCACACGCAGGTTAACACCTAAATGGCAACAAGGCATAAGCCTTTCGCATCTGATAATTACGAAAGGAAAGTGCTATTATGCCCTTTAGCTACCAAGGAAGCAATTAGTCATCAAGGTGATTGCCCTGGCAGGAAAATTATACTTAACCCGCCTTAATGGTAAGGATGTCTCACATGCAGACTGAACCTAGGTCCACTTTTTCTTTTCTTTTTTTAATATATTTTACTGATTTTTTTACAGAGAGGAAGGGAGAGGGATAGAGAGCCAGAAACATCGATGAGAGAGAAACATCGATCAGCTGCCTCCTGCACACGCCCTCCTGGGGATGTGCCCGCAACCAAGGTACATGCCCTTGACTGGAATCGAACCTGGGACCCTTCAGTCCGCAAGCCGACGCTCTATCCACTGAGCCACACCACTTAGGGCTGTCCACTTTTTCTTGTCAAATGACTCTGACCTATTGATCCTACTAATCCTCTAATGAAGGACAATCCCCCCAATAAAAAAACAACAACACACATTTCAGAATGCCTGTTTTTCCACTGAAATAGAATACTCGCTTTGAGCTGCTGACCCGTCCATGAGCAGTGGCTGTCCTTCTGGGCACCATTAAGGGTCCAGCCCGGGGCACCAGAAGCCAGTCCCTTTGCTCAGCTACACCCTTTATCACTCTCTGTTTCATTGGCCGATAACTCACACCCATGTTCCCCCTCTCCGTTCAGGTGAGGACCATGAATAGCTGTCAATAGTGGAGAGTACAGCACTCCCAGTACAGATACAATCCCTCTTCTTAGGAAGAAAAATGGCTGCACCTACCCCCGGAAGATAGGGGCCAAGATCTGGATGCAAGTGCACCTGGTGAACACCCTACCCCGTCCCTTCTGTCTCCCTGTCCATTATTCCATGGAAAGTATGGAATTTGAAAATGGGGGAACCAAGCCAGCTGCGGCAGGCAACCAGGGAGTCTGAGCAGACCATGTTTCTTCAAATGAGATCCACGGGGAAGGGGGGGGGGGGGCGCTGTCATGAGGCCTGAATGGAATGCTTATTAAAAATGCAGGTTGCTGCCCTGGCCGGTGTTGCTTAGTGGTTAGAGTGTTGACCCTCGAACCCAAGGGCGGTGGGTTCAATTCCTGGTCAAAGGCAAGTATTTGGGTTGCAGGTTCCCTCCCCACCCCCGGTCAGGGTGTGTGCGGGAGACACCGGTTGATGTGGCTCTCACAGCAAAGTTTCTCTCTCTCCCCCTCCCTCCCTCCCTCCCACTCTCTCTGAAAAAGCAATGGAAGAAATATCCTCAGGTGAGGATTAGCAAAAAAATAATAAAAATGGGGGTTCCTGACCATCAGATCAGAATCTTGGTGATCTGCTCCCAAGAATTTGAACGTGCTCACCCCAGGGGACTTCATGCCCGCCAAAGTCAGAGAACAGTCATTGTGTTGTTTAATCCGTGCCAGTCAATATTTTGCTAACTTAATGAGCTCACAAGAGACCTCATTACACCTCTGACAAGCTGAGCAGATGGGGCTGCTCCTTGCGAGGGGTCTGAGCGGTAACAGTGCGCATGTGGCTGGGTTTTCCTTTTGTCCTGAGATTATCTACTCGTGTCCCTACCCAGAGAGTAAGGACGAAGGAGGTGCCACAGAAGAACCCGCCATGGCTGAGTGCTTGCAGGCATTTTCCAAGCACCAGGGAGCAGCTCCCCACAACAAGCAAGAAACCCTGCGTTTCAGGAAGCCATTCCTTCAGAAGGGAGAGAGGCATGTGGAGTGGGCCAAGGAGACACCACCATTTCTCTAGGCCACGCGCATCAAAAGCAGCAGGCCCGCCAGCAGCTGTTTACAGAGCCAGAGCAACGCCACACGCCCAGGAATTTATTTCCACGTTAGGGGGGCCACGACCAACAGGGGCAGGAGGAAAGCCGTCAAAGTCCTACCTTTCAGGGGATTTTCATTTTAGAGCGACAGGATGGCAGGCTGCCCCCAGGGCCGCCAGTCACCCAAGCTTCCCTCAGCCCCGCACAGATGTGAGCCTTGGTTGCTCTAAGGACAGAATCTTGGCTGCCTGGAGTCATTCCAGGCGCTGGGCTGTGATATCAGAATAGGGCTATGACATCAGTGGTGGGGGGCAGGCCAGCCTGGGGAGCAGGGCAGGAGAGAAGGAGCTCTCAGGGGCTGGATTAGCCCCCCCTCGAAGTAAGGCCCAAGACAGAGGAGTGGCCAGCTCTGTATTCCATTCTTACAACCCCCAGCACGCCCTGGGAAGCTAACCTGGAGATCTGAAAATGATTCTCAAGTACCAAGAGGCAAGCCAGACGACCTGCTGGTGCTTAGACAGGATTCAGGAGCAAAGACAGCAAATGCGCTATCCTCTAGCGCCGCCCTGTGGCAATAGAAGGGATACTCTATTTTCTGACTGGGAAGTTCAACTTTGGGCCCCGCCTGGAGTCAGGAGCAGAGGGCTGACTGCCGAGGCCTCCCAGGATTCAGTTCAATGCAGGGACATGAAATGCAGGTCGCCCTTTTCATCTGAATTTGAGAAGCACTATAAACAAACTGTAGTATAAGTATGTCCTGACGATTACATGGGACACATTTATACAGAAACATTACTGGGCAAAGGACCTAAATAGACACCTTTCAAAAGAGGACATTCAGAAAGCCAAGAGACATATGAAAACATGCTCAAAGTCACTAATCATCCGAGAGATGCAAATCAAAACAACAATGAGGTACCATCTCACACCTGTCAGACTGGCTATCATCAACAAATCAACAAACGACAAGTGCTGGAGAGGATGTGGAGAAAAAGGAACACTTGTGCACTGCTGGTGGGAATGCAGACTGGTGCAGCCACTATGGAAGACAGTATGGAGTTTCCTTAAAAAACTGAAAATGGAACTCCCATTTGACCCTGTGATCCCACTTCTAGGAATATATCCCAAGAAACCAGAAACACCAATCAGAAAGGATATATGCACCCCTATGTTCATAGCAGCACAATTCACCATAGCTAAGATCTGGAAACAGCCTAAGTGCCCATCAGTAGATGAATGGATTAGAAAACTGTGGTACATCTACACGATGGAATACTATGCTGCTCTAAAAAGGAAGGAACTCTTACCATTTGCAACGTCATGGATGGAACTGGAGAGCATTATGCTAAGTGAAATAAGCCAGTCAATGAAGGAAAAATACCACATGATCTCACTCATTCATGGATAATAGAGACCATTATAAACTTTTGAACAATAATAGATACAGAGGCAGAGCTGCCTCAAACAGATTGTCAAACTGCAGCAGGAAGGCCGGGGAGGGTTGCGGGGCAGGAGGTAGGGGGGTAAGAGATCAACTAAAAGACTTGTATGCATGCATAGAAGCATAACCAGTGGACATAAGACATTGGGGGATAGGGGAGGCTAGGGGACTGTCTAGGGCGGGGGGATAAAATGGACACATATGTAATACCCTTTGTAATACTTTAAGCAATAAAAAAAAAATAATAATAATAATATTTTAATATGAAAAAAAAAAAAGAAACATTACTTGTTGTGTATCTGAAGCTCAAATTAAACGAGTGACCTGTATTTTTATTTGCTAAATCTGGCAATCACACCCAGGGGGACTTTTTTTCTTAAATGCAGGTGACCCCCCATGCTGCTCTCATTCATTCAGATTTACCAGGGCAAGGGAAGCTGGGAACCTGCGTTATTTTTAAGCTGCCATGGTGACTATTATTAATAACTACAGCTAACTTTTTGAGCAATTGCCAAGCCATGTGCTAAGTTCTTATGCATTTCTAGGTTAATCTTCTACGAGGTGGTTCCATTATTAAGCCTATTTATAGAGAAATGAGGCAAAAGACAGTGAGCAATTTGCCCAAGGTCACACAGACAGGAGGTTTGACCCCAGGCTCCCACTGACCTAGAAATCTTTGAATTGGAAGGATGCTAGGAGGTCCGTAATCAAAGCCTCCAATGGACTGACAAGGGGGGAATCTGAGGCTCTGGGAAGGCCTTGCTCGCGCTAACCTCTAGGCTACTGTGCACAAGGGGCTGAGCCAGGTTGCAGATACAAGCATCTGGCCCAGGCAGGGGGCTGGCTCAGGGAGGGTTTCCAGAATGGCCTCTCCTTGAAGGATAAGCAAACTTAAGGGAAAGCAGGGTATGGGAAGGGTCTCCTCAAGTCCAGGAACAGATTCTTCCGAAGAAAGGGCACAAGCCCCACCCCCACAAACATTTCCATCCTTAGAACTGCCAGCCACCCCAACAACGTAAGCATCTCACTGCTGGGAGCGCACAGAGCCAAGCGGGAAGGGCGAACACACACCCCGACCTTCCGGGGTTGGTCTGCAGTCGACTGGGTCTCCTGGTCACCCCCATCCCCCAAGTGCCTTCGATTCCCACTCTCTCCAGACCCACCATGTCGCACGTACACCCACTGCGCCAAGCGCTCTACCTGAATGGCTCCTCATCAGGCGGACAGCCTTGGCCTTGGCCAGCTCCAGGGCGGTGATCCACTGCTGCCGCTCCACATCCGAGCTGGCCTTGAGGTGGTAGGTCTTTGCCCCACTGGTCAGCACGATACTGCAATAATCCTCCCTGTCAAAGTGCGCGGTGGACATGTTGATGGTGCCCCGGCAGGTGTGGGCCATTTCGCCCTCGTTTCTGTAGGATGCAAGAGAAGGAATGGGCTGAGGCTCCCCAACTCAATAGCTCCAGACAAAAGAAAGCCTCAGGGCAAATCCTCAGATACGCAGACCCTGGAGTCAGAGCTGGGAGGTGAAGCTTATGGGGACTGATTGCAAGAGGCTTGACTGAAGGGCTCTCAGTGGGCAGAGGGAGGAAGGAGGAGGGCCTGCGTTGGTGCCACGTGCAGGGCATGCCTGCTGTGGTCTGAGCCCTCGCAGACACCAAGCAACGGAGAAGGGTGACTGCCCAGCGTCCTGCCAGGCAGCGCAGGCCTCTAACTCCATAGCAGGCTCTTTCCACTAAAGTCTCAGACCCCCAGAGATGGAGCAGGTAGGAACCTGAGAGCCCTGCCACTCCCACTGAGACTACAGACCCGACCTCCAGGGTGGACTCAGAAGCATCCCTTTCACTTATGCAACAGTTTACCAAGTACTTCTTCGTGGTTTGTTGCAAACAGCCAAGTAGGGCTGTTTACGGATGGAGTCACAGAGGTTTGGAGACTTCCTCCCACACTAGGCAGGGCTGACTAGTGTAACCAAGAGGACATTGTGGAAATAAAAAGAGTGTGACTTTGAGGGTAGTGCTCTCTCTTGGATCACTCTTTCTGGGAAAAGCCAGCTGCCATGTGGTGAGGACCCTCAAGCAGCCCTTTGGAGAGGCCCCCCTGTCAGCAACCAGCATCACTTTGTCAGGCCTGTGAGTGAGCCCCCAGCCCCAGTCAAGCCTTCAGATGAGTGCAGCCCTCATGACACATCCTGAGCCAGAATCACCCCAACTAACCTCCCACTCATGAATTCCTGACCCACGGAAATGCTAAGATATTTATTGTTTTAAGCCACTAAATTTTGAGATGATAATGAAATCTCCGTTGTTTTGAGCCTCAAAGTTACACAGCGATAGATAACTGATAAACCTGGGGACATGGGCAGCTGACCCTGCCCACGCGTGAGTGTCTGGCAAGCATCAGATCCCAAAGGAACAAAACCAGCTTCTCGGGAAGCCTCCAGAGCCGGCACTCCAGCGGCACGGTCACATGCAGAGCCAGTCCTGGAGAGAGGTGAGCCAGACAGGGCATCTCCTGCCTAAAGGTAACAGGTGGGGAGCCAAGGGTGAGGGAAGGCTCCGAAACCCTCCCAGCTAACAGGAGTGCACGCCCAAATGACATAGCGCACAGAGGAGTGCGGGAGGACACCAGCCTAGCTCATTGCAGGGGAATCCAGGCAGGCCCATGCTGAGATGACCTGGAATGAAGGCTGCCCTGTCTGGCGTCTGCAGCAATGAGAAGGGGTTCTCCTGGGGGCTAGGGGGTGGCAGATGCAGAGATCTGGAGAGGAGAATGAAAGGCATGTGGTTTGCAGAGGGAAACAGGTAAGATGAGCAGAAGGACCAAGGCCGGGGGAGGGGAGAGGCAGGGTAAGTGAGAGGAGGGGCCTGACTGGGAAGGGCTGAGGAGGGTGAACCAGGGAAGCCACACACTGCATTTTAGGAAGACAGCACCTGCTGCTGCTTCAAGGACAACACTGTCTGGCAGTCCCCCACGCAGGCTCAGGAACGCCATCTGCCTTCTTCTGGGTTTAGGCAATGGCCCAGCAATGCCGACCAAATGGTGTGAGTCAAGACTGTGAAATCGGTATTCAACGCATAGGGCTGTGGCTGAGCATGTGATGAGGTGTCGAGAGGAGAGAAGCTAAGTGATCAGAACTCTGAGACCTCATAAAGATGGAAACAGACGCGGGGAAGAGTGCACATGAAAGAGGAAAGCATACAGCACCCCGCATGGCCCCAAAACTCACTGGCAGTTGGCTTCGTGGATGCGATTAAGGCCACGTCCCTGTGTGGCGACACCTGCTGCTAGGATGTGATTCACCACCCACCAAGCTGCCAATTTCCATTTGGTTCAGAGTGTTTTCTACCATCTCCTCCTCCCCACATGTCAGAACCTGTAGTTGTCCAGGAAACAGGCCCATTTCCTCCATTTCCCCTGGAACTAACAGATGTTGATCTTGGTTTAAGGAACCTCACACCCTTTACACCGGCCTGTCTTTCTCTATTGACCTCATTTGCCAGCGACATCCCTGAAGGCTAACGGAGGCTTGCATCCCCAGCCCGGGAACTCCCCCACAGCACTGAGCCTGAACCTGCTGGCCTCTTACTAAATGGCCAGGATAGATGCAGACTTTCCTCCTCCTTCTCCTCCAGGCAGTGGTTTGGCGATGGTGCGCATGTCTGTCTCCCACACTGCCTGGTACATTGGTGGTCCTCAATAAAGGACTCAACCAAAGCTGGTGTGTTCTCACCATGTCCCAGGCTGCTCACCAGGCCTCCATCTTGGATTAACAGTCCCTCCAGACCAGTAAAGAAGGTGCAAGGGTCAGGAGGAGCTGGAGAACAACAGGCATTCCATCCCAGTCACAAGAGAACTTGCAGACGGAGCAGGTCCATGTGGCAAGTGCACCCATCATACGCAAAAGCTGCGCCACCGAAAGCCTGGGGGAAGGCATAGATCCGAAAAGTATCTCTGAAGCAATAAAGGGCCAACTATGTGCCCGCAGAGAAGGCCCTCAGCACGCAAGCAGCAGGCCCCGTAGTGTCAGACACCCCGCAAGACTGGCATGTGCTTCCTCTGAAGGAAACCAGAAGCCACGCTGCTACTGCAAGCCAGGAGTAAGCACTCACTCTCCCCGAACCACAGTGAAGGTCAGCCCTTCGCCCTGACATCACTGAAATCTGCAAGGGGGAAGCAGCTCAGACTGTGCAGAAAAGAATTCACGTAGCAGGCCTGAGGTTGCGCATCCTTTGGAAGGCCTGTGGCCAAGGCTGGCCCTTGACTGCAGTCTGGGAGTCTGGATTTGGGGAGCACCCCCGTTCCCTAACTGGTAAGGGGAGCTGACGATACCTAAACTGCTAGTACAATGTGGTCCATGCCGAACACCTGCTTTCCTTCTGGGAGTCTGAACTTTGGCAGCGTGCCAGAGGGCGCCCACGTGACCAGACCCCAGTGAAAACCCTGGGCACTGAGTCTCTAATGGTCATTTCACATGTGTTGTCACAACTTGTTGCTGGAAGAATTAGTGTGTCCCGTGTGACTACACCGGCAAAGGAGCCTTGAAAGCCAACGCCTGGTTTCCCAGAATTCACCCCAGGCCTCACTTCCCTTTGCTAGTTGTGCTTTGCTGTCATCAAGCACAGCTGTGAGCACGCGTTGATGGGCGAGTCCTGGAGTCCACGTGGTCATCGAACCTGGGTTAGTCTTAGAGACTAACAGGACCCCGGCGAGGAGTCTCACATGTGTTGTGGGTGGACCTTGGCGCAGGCCGGGTCAGGAGGCTGTTGGAGTCCTGGTGCTGCCATGAATGAGCTCCCATTCCTCCCTCCATGTAACAGGGAAATAAGGGAGAGCCTGCACTCCTCGCCAAGGCTTCAGACTGGAAGTCACTCTGACACGCGGACAACCCACAGGCCTGAGGGCCTGTTGGCGACTGGCTGTCACACGGGGTGGAGGGCTTGCCTCTGACCTTTGGCCTTCCCACAGGGTCTTGAGCGTTTAACATGTGCAAGGAAACCATCGGGCACACAGGAAACCAGTTTAAAGAGCTGTGTGATTGCGAGAAGCCCTTTTAAAAGCTTGACCCTTGCTCCTCATTCCTCCAGCCACTGCCACACTTTACCAAGTGCATCACTGTAGGTATACACAGTCAACATGTATACCTACATGCAATCCTATGCAAAAGCCAACGAGGACCACAGACATAGGTTGCTGCTTCAGAGAGGAGACACATTCCGGTCTGTCAACAAAGTATCCAGATAAGCAGAGTTTCATAGCCGTCACTTTTCAGGTTCTCCTGGCTTAAGCCAGCACCGTCCCATTTATCTTCCTCATCTATTCCAGCAAACAAGTTCTGGTCATCGAGAACAAATTAAGAAAAATCAAAGCTGCACTAACATGCGTGGCTTTCTGAAACCCACAGAACCCCAGGTAGCTCTCTTTCACTCACCCACTCGCCCATTCAGATGAACCAAGCTACTGAGGGCTCATCAGTGGCAGAGTACCATGCTGGGCTCTATGTGGAACACAAAGGTGCCGCCGAACGTGGCCATGGTGTCCCTTTAACACGAAGCTGTCTGCAGAGGCCACATAAGCTCCCTGTAAACTCCCATGATCCTGGCATCAGTCAGGAGCCACTGTGGGTATTTCAAAGGGGAGAAACCCAAGCTAAGGAGCTAAGACGGGACACGGACCATTGAAAGAGCATCCTGGAGAAGACGAGGCAATTCCAGGCGCCACGTGGGGCGCAGAAGCTGGGAGCTGGGACGCCAGTTAAGCACAGGGCAGACCTGAACCACGGAGGTGGCGTGAGGAATGGAGAAGAGAGACCAGCGGAGAGAGATGGGCAGGGTGTGGCAATTCCATCTGATGTGGGATGAGGGAGGGAGGGAGGTGACAGCAAGCATGACTCAGAGGTTTGCAGCTATTCATAGAAAGAGAGGAGTTAGGAGAAGGAGCAGGTTTTGTGGGAAAAATTAGTTGGTGTCACGAGGCCTCACTAAGAGCATTGCTGTGCATTGTGCTCATGCTGCTAGTCCACGGGTGCCCTCTTTGCAACACCCTTGTGCTATAAGCTAAGAAAATATACTTCAAACAAAGGTTTACGTCATCAACCTGGGTGCTCCTTTTCAGCCTCCTAACAGTCTCACAGTGTAAAACACTGAACAGTATTTCAAATTAAAGCAGCATCCAATCTAGTGAGACTGCTCTCTAGGGTGGAGACCCCAATAGCTTCATCTTTGGACTGGCACTTCCTAACTTCACGTTTTCAGGGACACTTTGCAGCTGGGTCGTCTTTTCCATCGCCTCGCTTCAAGGATGACCTAAACTGGCATTGAAAACACTATTTCCTGGCGCACAGTCTCCATGAGTTTGCCTTTGAGAGCAGGTCTCACTAGACCAGTGGTTCTCAACCTTGGCTGCACATTAGAATCACCTGGGAATCTTTTTTAAAATCCTGATTTCTGGGCCTCATCCTCCGGAAATTCTGTTTCTTTGTTATGGGGTGGGGCAGAATTTCTGGAGGATGAGGCCCGGAAATCAGGATTTAAAAAAGATTCCCAGGTGATTCTAATGTGCAGCCAAGGTTGAGAACCACTGCACTAGAGGAATGAGTACCTTATCCATCCTAGAGGCACAGATGTCTTGGTCTGCCATCTTCTGTTACACCCCAAAAAGGTCCCAGTCCACCAGATGTCCAGTGGTCTTCTTTAGCCAGAGGACTTCCAAAATTTACTTTCACTTGGACCTTAACAGACACTTTCTTATAGACACTAATTTCTTTGAGGCCTTCCGTGCTATCTGGCTTAGCCATTCCTACCCATAGATTAGTCTGATCAATAAATTAATTAAAACAAATTTCTCTGTCTGCAATTGTCTCCTGGTAAACAAATGTCATTTATAATATCAACAAATAGGCAACTGGTAAACAACAAAACAGAATTTTGCCTAGCTGAATCAATGTTGTCATTAATATGGATAAAGCTTATGTTTGGCACACGCTCTCCATAATGACTTGCTGAAGCCAATACTTTTGAAACTTCCACAACATTTATTATTTTCCCCCCTAATTTCATGTAATCACGTGTTCCCTATGAGGTAAGAACTGGGGATGAATTTTTTCTGGGAACTACCAACCAAAATAAAGGAAAGCAAACTAAGCACAAAACCATAGTCTCCTTGTTGGGATCCAAACAGACGTGATTGAAAATGCCCAGCAATGGGTAAGAACCTCATCTCCCGAGTTTAGTTATGTTCCTGCCACATTGTTGAGAAGCAATAAAAACCTGCTAACAGTTATCCATGCTTCCCAGAAATTCTTTCTATATGTGACCATATTTACAAAAAGCATCTTTTTTTCCTGATAATACAGATGTTACTAAGCCCAGGTGGTTAGCATTATGTGCTTCTCCCCTCAGAATAAGCTTAAGTGATCAAATGTGCTTCTCAAGCAAAACCCAGGGCAGAAGTACCCAAGGAAGCCACACAATGGAGAAAGTCTAATCCAAACCCCCAATTATTTTCTATTAAGAGAAAAAGAATGCAGATTGAAATGCAGGTCAAGACTGCCAGACGCCACAGTAAACCCAGTTGATTGGCAAAGTCAATGCTGACACTATCAAGTTTTGCAAAGGATATATAGACCCACAAGACCTCTTATTAATTGCAGGTGGGAGTGTAAATTGGTACAAGTGCTTTGGAAAAGTTTGGCATTAGGTAAGGCGAACGTTCATCGTCTACATCCCAGTGATTGCGCCCAAGAGAAATCCCTGCACATGTCCTAGAAAGTTCGTAGTCACCCATCCAGAGGAAAATGCGCAATTAAGAAGTGGTACACTCACATTCTGGACTGTTACAAATAAGTTCCCAAAATCATATGCTGTAAAATACCCTTTTAAAAATAAAGTTAAAGATGGTTGAAATAAAACTAAATAAAAAAGGAAAGAAAGGAGAGAGTGACTAGGGTTTGGGAAGGTGGTTATACTGGAGGGGGGCAGGCTGGTAGGAGGGATGGGGAGGGAGCACAAGAAATATATACTCACATTTTCTCCAAACATCAGGCTTCACTTAGTTGTGTTTTGTGTGTGTGTGTGTGTGTGTGTGTGTAATTAGAGAGTGGTCTTTCCAACAGGGAAAAGGATCTCTCTTTGCTCAGTTGCCTGACTCCAAGAACACCATGTTCTGTGTGATTATTAGTACAGCCGCCTGGCCGAGGGCCACCAATATACCACATGAGAAGGCACATTAGGAACACGTGTCAGCTTTCTCCTTTGCCAGGAATTAAAGAGTGACCCCAATTGTGGAGTGGGAACCATCACTTAAGTTCAGTGGAGTTCCCAAATTCTCAGGGGCACCGTAGACTCAACCATCCTCTAGAAACTGTGTTCCCAAAAGGCTGGGCAAGACCATGTCAGTCCTAAGGTAGGTGACAGCAGGAAGACTGCCTGGCCCAGTGAACGAGCAAACAGCAAGGCAGGGCCCTTCTGTTTGCCGTGAAAAGGGAGCAGTGCTTCTCAGGCTACGGTCAGGCGCAGCGTCACCTGGGAACTGTTAGAAATGCCGAAACTCGGGCTCCTGAGTCAAGGACTTTGGGGGCTGACTGACTAGTTGTCCCACAACTACCGAGACCAGAGGCCCTAGATCACTCCCTCACTTCACCCCCTGCTCACGCCCTAACCCACTTGGCTTGCCAGAGGTCATGTCCACAGGGGGCTCCCCTGCCAGAGGTCAGGGCCCCCAATCCTGGGAGGTTAGCTAGAGGCATCATTCCTGCTAGAGTGCATGTTCCCAGATATCCCCAGGCCAGTAATGGTGCCCTCCAACCCAGGTGCCTCCGTCCCCAGGACCGCGGCATCACCACCCTGTGAACGCAGATGCCCCGGGGGCCTGTCCTACCTGTAGTACGACAGCAGGCCGTTGCTGAGCACGAACCAGCGACGCTGGTAGCCCTTCAGGTAGTTGGTCCACTTGAAGAGCCAGCCCTTGAAGCTGTCCAGCGGCACCAACGCCTTCGGGGCGGCGGAGGCGGTGCCAGCCCCTGCAATTGGGACCCCATAAGACACCTTCACCTGTCCTGGTCGCGGGAGAGCTGGGGGCTTTGACGCGGGCTGCGACCCTGACTCGGGTCTGGTAGAGGGCACGCTCCCCACGGGCGCCGGCGGCCTTCCAGATGAGGCCTTGGGGGGCTGTCCTTCCCCTACACGTGGACCCAACTCTTGCCGGGGCCCTGTCTCCCGTCCCGGCTGCAGGTCCGATTCTGGTCTGTACCCCGGTCTCGGCGGAGGCGTCTTCTGGGGCTCCGGCTGCGATCGCTGCGATGGCTGCGATCTCGGCACTGGCTCCCAACCTGGCCGCGGCACCTGTTCCGGCCCCGTCTTCCACTCGGGCGCGGGCACTGGCTGGGGCTGGGGCTGGGGCTGGGGCTGGGGCTGGGGCTGGGGCTGGGGCTTCAGCTGGGGCTTCAGCTCCCGTCCGGAGTCGGGCGTGGGAGCGCTCATGCTCGGTGCGGCCGCGTGGCAGGACAGACAGGGGACAACAGTGGACAGCGACGACAGCCCGCGGAAGCGGCCGCAGCAGCCGCCGCCTCGGCACAGAGCGGCCGCTTTCCCCATCGAGCCGGCGACCCGAGCGCGGAGCGCGGAGCACCGAACGCGGCCGAGCCGGGGGGAGGGGGAGGGGGAGGGGGAGGGGGGAGGGGGGCGGGGGCGGGGGAGGCGGAGGCCGGGGCGGGGACTCCGCGGGCGCGCGGCGCAGGCGGTGGCGAGCGCGGGGCCCTCCGCGGGCCGCGCCACCCCACGCAGCCGGACCGGCGGGCTGGGGTCCTACTCGCGCTCAGCGGACGGGACTCGGACCCCGGTCCGTCTCTGGCGTCGCCAGCGCCCGGCTCAGGGCCCCGCCCTCGGATGGCGTCCTAGGAACACCTGTGGGGCGAGAGCTTGGTGGGCGGGCCTCGGGGAGGGGCGGGGAGCTCCAGGCCACCATCCCTGCCTGCACCCCAACCCGTGCCAGGTTCTGGGGTAACAGCGATGAGCGCGGAGGCCTCCGGCTGTCTGTCCCGGACGGGTTCGCTCCCGAAACCCAGGGGCGAGGGACAGGCCGGGAGCAGGTGCCGCGCCCAGAAACCAGTAAGTGCGCCCGAAGCACAAGTGGCCCGCTGACGCCAAGCGCGGAGATGGACGCCTCCCGCCCCCACGGCGGCCATTACCTGCCTGTGGGTCCTTCCCGCGACGCCCAGGCGCTGACCCAAAGCCACCGCTGCCCTCGCCTCCTGGCCAGCTGGCCCCTGGTTCAGGCCAGGGCACTGCCCGTGGCGACATGGCCCGGCTCTCTGTAAAGGAAGACAGAGTTTTGTCTGAAAGCGGATTCTGAACTTGGATCCTCGACATCCCGGGGTAACCTCGGCGGACGGTCCGTGAGCCTCTGCAGGAGTCTGCGGGGTTTCCCGCCTCTGCGCATTCTTTCTGGAAAGAAGGTCCCTGGCTTTTCCAAAGGAGTCTGTGATCCTAGAAAGGTTAGACATCACTGATTTACAGGCTCTATCCTAAAGGGAAAGGTCGATGGTTACCACCGGTAATCAGAAATACAAGCGGAAAGGCTGGGGATCCGGCTTCCGCCCAGTCCCTCCCGACTCCAGATCTGTGGGCAGGAAGGCTCCCCTCTGCTCATCGCACGGGACTTACCTCCCCCTGCCCCTGCCCGGGTTTATTCTTGATCTTTGCTCCTGATAAGGCTGCCTGTGCAGGTGTAGCGGCCAGTTAGGGAGGCATGAGCAGAGCAGGAAGGAGGGGCCAGGTGCAGAGGGTCCCGGGTGCCTAACAACCGGCATTACTACAAGCCTTGGCAGGACACTCCCTGTAAGCAGTAGCCCCTGGAGATGGCAGCTAGGCCTCAGCTGTGTATCAGCGCCAAGCCCAGGGAAGCAGCAGAACCAGGCGGAGCCTGCCCCGGTGACATCAGCACCAGCTGCGGTGACTAATGACCCCTCCCCGGCGGGACCAATCAGTGGAGCCCAGGACCCTGAGGAGAGACAGGGCGGAAAGCTGATGAATATTCTCCTGAGGTCCTCCAGAGACCTCAGACGGAGCGCGCTCGGGCCTGCTGTTTGTGCCAGATGTGTGTGCAACCCCCAAGGAGGGAAGCCAGGTGGCAAGTGAATGTTAATGATATGTTTAGACTCCTGCAATAAAAGCATGACAGAGCGGGTGAAGAAGGCGTCACAGAAAGGACATGGTATGCACGGAGTTAGGAGGTCAGGGTGTGGAAGGGCATTCAAGGCAAAGGAACCAGCATGTACAAAGTCCCAACGCGGGAGAGAACACCTTGCCTGGGACATGACAAAGGGCTCAGCATACCCGAAGAGTAGGGCAAGAGAGGCAGCAAGCGTCCGGCTGCATCTGGTGGACACACCATGAGGAACGAATGCCATCTATCCCACAGAGTGTGGACCTCCTGGGCACAAGGGAATGTTTTCAGTTTTATTTTAATATATTTTATTGATTTTTTTTTTTAAAGGGAGAGGGATAGAGAGTTAGAAACATCAATGAGAGAGAAACATCGATCAGCTGCCTCCTACACACCCCCTATTGGGGATGTGCCTGCAACCAAGGTACATGCCCTTGACCAGAATCGAACCCGGGACCCTTCAGTCCACAGGCTGACGGTCTATCCACTGAGCCAAACTCGCTAGGGCAGATTTTTTATATTTAAACTGTCAAATGCTATCCCTTGGAGAACTAGCTGTCAGGCTGTCCCTGAGGACCTTAGGAGCAGGAAAGCTAGAGTGAAGAAGTGAAGTCCCCTGTGGGCTGGGAGGTTCTGGGATAGCTGAACCGACCCGTGTGCTGCAGAGCCGGCCCCAACCATTACTTCTGCCTGAGCTCAGCCCTGTGAGATGAAAGGAACCCTGTCCCCATATGCCTGAGCCCAAGGTCACATTGCCATCAACTGGGTAAGAACCCAGTCCTTCCAGCTCCCATTGGTCTTCATTCAAAATCCAGACAGATTCTCTTATAAGCTTGTAGCCAGCCATACACTAAGGTACGTGCTGGTTTGTCTCATTTTACCCAGGAAAGGAGATGCATGAGCTAAGAGGGAGATAGGCAGCATGTAGCTAAGTGTGGAGGGACGGCTTCTGTTCACAGTGGGCTGCTTTCTGCAACCCACTGAGTTGAGAGGGTTCTCACCCTGCAGGAAGGTGTTGCAATAGTGCCCTCATGTGGACATTCTGAGAACAGCACCCTCGTAATCAATTCTAGTCTGAAAAGAAGGCCCAATTGATAGACCTAGAGGGCTCTCACCCTGCAGGGAGGTGTTGCAATAGTGCCCTCTTGTGGACATTCTGAAAATGCGTTGGTGTAGGTCTCGCCTGCTATTACACTATTAGAACTACATTACCTCTGGTCCCTTGGAGAATATCTGGCTGGAAGCTCTGTGTGGGGCAGAATGTAACTACCAGAATCGGGAGGGCTCTATTCTGTGTTGCCAACACCCACAATGCAAGTCCTAGATGACCTCAGATATTTAGTTCAGTCACATCAGAGAAGAGCCTTACTTTTCTGTCAGGGAAAAAGGTGCGAACTTGAGTATAGAGAGGCAGGGCAGTGGGCTGGAGCAGTAATCCCCCCTTCCCTGCCCCAGGTGGTATGGGTCTATGTTTATTATATACTGGGAGATACAAAAGAATATTGTAAAATATGTGTGGGGCATACAAGTAACAATACATACAAGACATCCATAGACTCATTAACCCATTTTAGTTGCCTGTTCTCCCTCCCACCCTCTCCCATCATCTTGGGTTCTTTCAAGTCAACTGGCTCCCACCTCCTCTTCATTTTTATTTTTTAATCCTCACCCGAGGATATTTTCCCATTGATTTTTAGGGAGATTGGAAGAGAGGGAAAGACAGAAACATCAATGTGAGAGAAACACATCGATTGGCTGCCTCCTGCATGAGCTCCAACTAGGGTCTGGGCCAGGGAGGAGCCTGCAACCAAGGTACATGTCCTTGACCGGAATCGAACCCGGGACCCTTTGGTCCACAGGCCGATGCTCTATCCATTGAGCCACACCGGCTAGGGCCCAGCCTCCTTAGTTGACTAAGTATTCTCAGCTGTTTTTTCCACCTGCGATCTCCTCTTTCCATATTTCCAAGCACTTATTGAAATCGCTATTTTGTAAGTGTTCCTTCTTTAAAACAACATGACCTTCCCAAGTCCTCTTAACTGTTCTCTTTTTCTCCACAGCATTTGTCACCTTCTAGTGATTTATCTCGTTTATGTCTGTCTCCTCCTGTTAGAATGTAAGCTCCAGATGGCGGGGATTTCTGTTCGACTTCTCTCACTGCTCTATCTTCAGGGCCTAGAAGAAGACTTGGCCTATGGTATGAATTCAATGAATATTTGTTCAGCGAAGTCTTCTTTCTCCTTCTCCTTGCTGTTGAGTACTTTTTGCATGTTCTATACTTTTATTTCAGTGAGGTCTCAAGAAAAATGGGAGGCAAACATGGCTGCTGATCAAACTCTCTGAGCAGAAAGTTTCAGTCAGTGGTTCATACTGTGTGAGGGATCATGAACCCCTTTAATATTATTATGAGACTTAGAGAACATACAAATCTCAACACACCTACACTAATGTACACATTATGAAGACCTTAAATTTCACCTTAAGGACCTGTGCTCTCGGAACGTTCCTGCAGTGGCCCCATAGAAGTGGGAAAGGGGATTTCGTCGTTCATTATATACTTTGTATACGTCAATGTTGTATATAGTGCATGTGTTACAATGTCAAGGTTTTAGAAACTAAATATTTTAAAGGAACCTGTGTTCTTACACCTTGAGGAGATCGCAGACTCAGATCTTTAGGGACCGGGCAGGGGGGTGTGAATGCACGTGGCCTAGGACAATAGGCAGTGGTGGGAGCTGTGGCTTGCTGACCCCACCTGAAGTGCTTAAATTCAACAGTATGAAAAACATGGCATTGATCCAACTCAACACCCCTGCTGTCAACCCAGGACTGCCAGTGAGCAACCTCTGTTTAGAAACCTTTCCGGGGAGCCAGTGACCCCTTAGTGATGGAGTAAGGAGTATGCAGACTCTATAAAGCAACAGGAAAAATAAAAACAGAAAACCCCTTGGAAGTGTCTGGGAGCTCCAGAGAATATGGAGGTACAGGATGTAAATGTCACAAAGAAAGTAGTAAGCCTCCCTTTTGCCAACTTGTTCAGCCCCTGCTTGGCGGGAGCTCCTGGTCCAATGAGAACCAAGGCAGGTGTGTGTGTTGCCCAGGCTCTTGTCTGGGGCTCACTCCCCTGCACCAGGCCACTTCTTGGGCAGCCCGACCACTGCAATTGCCACTACAACCCTCTTCACAGTTGCCCCCAGGAGATGCCAGGCCTCATGCCCGTTCCTGATGAGCACTGTTCGCTCACAGAGTTCTCAGAACAAGCCTAAGAGGCAGGTACTACAATTAGTCTTGGCTTTCAAATGAGGAAGCGGAAGCAGTGAGAGGGCAAAAGGACTTCTCTTGCGGAAAGCCTGCGGGATGGCCAGGCAGCAGTGCTGGAAGGGTGGGGTGGGGTGAGGATGAGGATGAGGATGAGGACAGGTGCGGGGGACTTCCTAAAGCCAGAAAGAGCACCGAGGTCCTTACCTAGCAGCTGTGGCAGTGCAGGACCACGCCACAGCATTCAGGAACCTGCTGGCTCTCTGCCACTAACTTGCTGTGTGACCTTGGGCAAGTCAGGTCACCTCTCTGGGCCTCTGTTTCCTCATCTGTAAAATGAGGAGACTTGGTTAACTTGAAAAATACCTATCGGGCTCTCCCTCTGCGCACTCTGCCGATGCTATAATGGAAAAAGGAATAAGACAGTCACTATTCAAAAAACACTACCCTGTTTACTAGGCACTGTGGTTACGGAGATGAGCAAGTCGGCATCCCTTCCCTTAAGACCTCCACTCTGTGGTCAGGGACACAGGGAGCCGACAAGAAATGGCCAACAACACGCTTGGTGCAGGGGTAGGCACAGATAGGTAGCCTTTTCTACTGGGACCACGTGGGGGTAGCACCGCAGAAGAGGCCTGGATTGGATCTTGGGGGATCTTTGGCCCCTGCTCTCAAAGACTGTGCCATCTAATCAGGAGTCTGGGACATGTGCCCACACACCTACCACACAAGGCGGAGTGAAGCCACCACAGGCCATCCAGAGAGGGAAACCCACGTGGTGTAGGCAGGTGGAGTAAGGAGCGAGCAGGAGGCGAAGAGAAGCTTTGCAGGGGAACTAGCATTGAGAGAAGCTTTGAGGAGGAAGTTTCCTGAGGGCCCTGGGGGGGCAGAAGAGGCATTCTAGATAAGGGACCTGTGCAAGTAAAGGCACAATGTGGGGGACGATCGGGGTGCAGTTGGGACAGCAGGCAGGCCAGGGAGTGTGGACTGGCAGGGTTGGAAGCCAAGTGGAGCTGTCATGATGAGAGCCTTTGGAAACGAGGGGCCTGGGCCAGGCTCACCACATTCTGATGCCAGTTCTTGGAGGTAGGCTCCCTTGCTACTCCCCCATTCTTTCAGATAAGGAAGCAGCGGTTCAGAGAGCTTACAAAGTCACACAGCTGACGGAGACAGTGCACTTGACCCACGTGTGTCTGATGCCCCACCCTGACCTCCTTACCACCTGAACGAATGCTAGGCATTGCTGAGCCCCTCCCATCTAAGATGCCACTGCCCGGTGCCCTTGGCCTGGCATTCCACCTCAGACACATGGGCACAGAAGGTCGATCTTTGCCTTAACCATGAATGCTGGCTTGGTTAAGCCTCCTCCACTCAGGCAGCTAGGGGACGATCAGGATCTTCTTCACCAGAACAGAGGGAAGGAGGCAGGGCAAGGATATGAGAATTACTAGGGTTTTTGTACTCCACTGTCCGTTGGTCTCAGTTTATTGCTCTACGATGGTGCTGGCTGGCTTCTACATCTTCTCCTGTGGCTGGCTTCTATGTCTTCTCCCCCTGTCGGTCTAGCGTGGTCATGGCTCTGGGGCGGAGCTTCTAACTTGATTAAGGCGGCTAGATTTTTCTTTTAGGCTGGAGTCAACCCTGCGCACACGGATGCTGTCCAGGTACTGCCGGACGCTAAGGAACTCCCGCCTCCAGCGCCCCAGCTTTCTCAACTGGTCCAT